TTGACAGCTGGACCTAATTCATTTGATCTCTCTAAGCCCGAATCAGATATCTGTGTCACTCGCAGTAAAGCAAAAGGCTCAAATTCATTGCATACTCCGCAGGATGAGAATCCTATTCTGCTTTTAGAATATCAGTCCTATCTATCAGCTCTCATTCCTGACAGTGATCCAAAGACCTTTCGTGAAGCTCTACTGAGTCCCAGTGCTGCTCTTTGGGAAGCATCTATGAGGGAAGAATTGACAGCTCTTGAAATGAACGATACTTCGCAGCTCTTACCTCGCTCTGAGCTTCCTTCAGGACGTGATATAGTTCCAGGAAGATGGGTTTATAGGCGAAAGACAGGGAAAGATGGCCAGCTAACCCGTTATAAATTACGCTATGTTGCAAAGAGCTTTCATCAAAGGGAAGGCCTAGACTACAAAGACACTTTTGCCAGTACAGTACTCTCCAGCGTCTGGAAAGCTCTTCTCGCACTCGCCGCTTCCAATGACTTGCAAGTTGAACAAATGGATGTAATTACCGCCTTTCTCAACCCTGAAATCGACACTGATATATACATGGCATGTCCAGACGGGTTGCCTACTCCAGATGGAGCTCCACTCAACCGCTGGATGTGGAAACTTAAGAAGTCACTCTATGGTCTCAAGCAGTCTCCACATCTCTGGCAATCAAAACTTTGTTCTGAAGTTGCCCAATTTGGTTATAAGTGTTATGAATTTGTTGGATTTAATCTGGATGTGGTGATGCAGGGGTTGTCTTCTTAATTTGGTTAGATCTGAGGCAACAGGATTTGGATTTGTTCAGGCTGGAAATTTGAATTTGTTCTTTAGTTCTAACAATTTTGTTACTTTTACAATTATTGTATAATTTGCTTATTGGGAACTCGATATTTTGATAATATGATAATCTGAACATATGAATTCGTAACTTTGATAATCCGAGCCTCAATTACCTTCATTCATACCTTCGCACATTTGACATTTGCACCTTCGACCTTCGTAACTTTGTGACCTCGAACCTTCGATAATTTGTCTTTGTTGAAATCGACTCGACCTCTGCAGCTTAACAGCTTCGAAAATCTGCCAATAAGTAGATTCATAACAATAAGCCTTTACTTCTTGATTCTTCCGCTTATCATAGTGACTCCAATGAAACTTATCTTGTTACTCATATAGATGACTTTCTACTCATTGGTCCCGAGGCTGGTGTTTCGAAATTGCGAAGACACCTACATGATGCTTTCAAAATGTTGGATATGGGACCTGCAGAGTTTTATGACGGCGTCCGTATTGTACGTAAACGAGCAAATCGACTCCTCTATCTTCATCAAGATGCCTATCTTGAGAAGATTCTTGAAAAGTATAGCCTTAAAAATTGTATTCCAACCAGTACACCAATGCTTCCAGGATAGCATTTGATTCCTTTTGAAGGGACTGCCTCTACAGCGGTAATTGAGCTCTATGCCTTGATGGTTGGTTCTGCAATGTATGCTGCTACTCAATCAAGACCTGTTGTACTTTCGCTCGTCAATGACCGGCTCTGCGCCGACAGGTGCATATGCACATCGTGCGTTGACCATGGACACAACCGCTGCCACTCCTGAGTCTCGGACTTGGGAGCACCGGGTTGAGTCATTGCAAGGCAACGATTGGGGTAGCGACGTGAAGGGTCTACTGACCACGTGCGCTAGCCACAAGCGGTTAGATATTGCCGGACAATTACGGAATAGCGCCCTGAGGTATATGCAGACCTCGCACGCTACCGGAACCATACAACTGCTTCCGCTCCTGAGTAGTGGACTAAGGACTGCGGAGCTGAGACATTGTATGGGAACGATTGGAGCGACGCTGTGGTGTGTATACAAACCACAGGCGCAAACCACAGGCGCGAACCATGGACTAGATTGCTGTTGTTCCTGAACAGCTAGGTTCAGGATTGCTCAGCTGGGATATTACACGTAAGTGATTGAGGCATTGCAGCTATGTGTACTCGGAGTGCGCGCGCCGGCCACCGGAACAGCAGATGCCTCTCATGAGAGGTGGACTCTTGAGCTGCAGAGTTTTACCTAGGCACGCTGTTGGCAGTAAGTTAGGAGAGAGAGCGTAGACAATGACAAGGGTCATATTAGAGTATATAAGTAGTCTATGTTCTGTCTCATGTATATTATCGGAAAAGTATCGGACACCTGCAAGCAATCAAGTTACCAAGTATCAAACCATCTGAACAAACATCGTGACACTTCTCAACGTAACTATGTTCCCAATTAACTCATAACCTTAACAAGACCAGATATCACCTATACCATGACACAGCTCCGTCGTTTTCTTTCTAATCCTTCTCCAATTCATATAGCAGCAGTTAGTCATCTTTACCGCTATCTTTGCAAAACTACCCATCTGGGTCTTAGTTTTGGTGCCAGCTCTAACTTACAGCTTCACGGTTTTACTGACTCTAATTATGCCCAAGATCCTGAAACGCGACGCTCTCATGATGGATGGGCTTTCTTCCTGAAAGGTGCCTGTTTCTCTTGGCGTTCGTATCAAATGAAGAGGGTTACTTGTTCTTCAACTATGGTAGAAGTCTATGCTATGGCTGAAGCAGCTAAGGAGGCTGTGTTTCTTCGAAATCTTTTTCGAAGTATCAATTACAACTCAGATGATGCAAAGATAGTCCGCCTCTACAATGACAATCAGCCAGGCTGTAGGCAAATAAAAGGATAGGGCGTAACTCAAAAGAGCAAACATTACAATGTACCTGTGTTCTTACTGCAGGAATATATAAGCAACAAAGTAATTGAATTGGAATGGAAATCAGGATTAGAAAATGCTGCAGACAGGTTCACAAAGGCATTGTCACCTGTTCTTTTTAAAAAGTTTGTCAGACAACTAAATATGACTACCTTGGATGCTTGATGAAATCCTGTATAGTTTTGTAGGTAAGGGGGTGTGTGTCATGTAGAGACATGATTCATTCATGAGTTGATATTGTTCAGACGATCATGACTATATCACAACGTCATGTACAGACACGATTCATTGTTTGTACCTGTTGTATCAACCATGACTATGTCTCAGTGATATGAGAAACATCATTGACTAGTTACTAGAAACCTAATCAAGATCCTAAACACACAACTGAGACTAGGAGAATTTTACTGAGTAAGTAATTATTCTGATGAATCTAGATCTAGAGGAACATAATCTGGTTGCTTGGCTCGAGGTATATGAACCTGAGCATATCATGTATTATAAACTATATAGAAATCTATCTCAATCACAATCATCATCTTAATTCATGTCACCATCAATAGCTGCAAAGGACAGTTTAACAATTTCCTTATAGTGTGTCAAGGGGTAAAATTTCAACTACTCATGTAAACTAAGCTAGACAGGTCAAATGACCTTCATAGCAGTACATAGATTTCATCTGTAGCTACAGGGCTCTTCAGTCAACATTTACAACGTAATACTGTGTCCCACGTATCTTTCTTAAGATTATCAACCAGATTAATTTGCACCAAAGAGTACTTTGTCTCCTTGTTTGCGCATCACGCAATGGTGCCCTTTTTATCCTTTCAACACCCAGAAGATTCTAGCATCTTGAAATATTCACTTGCCAAGCTTGCATCTGATTTGGGCTTCATCTATTGGAACACATGATAATCTTCCTGATTCCGGTAAATCCATCCATATTCTAGTATGCTCTGGTTTGTTATGGTGATTTCTACAAAGACCCAGAATACTCTGCTTACATTTTGTTGGAAAATATGCTCTGTACAATATTATATGGATAAATATGATGAAGTAAAGAAGACTTGATATTTTATAACTATGTAAACATTGGACTTATATATACATCTTAGGGGAGAAATTCCCACTAGTCTCATGTGCCTGTCAAACCTAGTGATGACCAGCCACCTCTCATCTACCATGATGATCCAAGGTACACTGTAGTACGTAAATATCCAATTGTAAATGCAACAGTAGGCACGATTAGCGCACTCGTGACATGTATGGAGAGAGTCGATCTTGTCAGGAACCTGAGACGAAACAGGTAGTGGTTGAGTCCTAAATTCGAGAGTCAGAATTTCCAACACATTTCTGTAACCCGGTAGTAGCTTTGTTATAGCTAGTTGCAAGGTGGGTCATAACTGACATTTAAGGCACAAATATATTGTCATTTGTTGTTGACATGTTAGCGTGACAACTTGAATCTGCCGGCATTGGGCTAGATTTGTGGCTAAAAACAGTTGATCACTTCTTTTGCTGGTTACCTAGCTCAATAGTTTGTAGTAGTTATTTCAGGCTGCAGTTCATTTTTCATTCTCGCTGCCAATCCGAAGCACCTCACATGACCTGGAGTTAAGAGCTCTTGCATTACTGGGTCCAGGTTTACGGGACTATTTGGGAATGTGGAATAGTTCAATCTGTGGTGATGGTAAGTTCCTCGGGAGGATTTTCTTCCCACTACAACTGGCCCTCATCCCCTCTGAGAAGCATAAATTTCCGTAGGCAATGTGACTCATTAAGTCATCTGATACCGTATTTCATCTTAGGCCCCTTCTTTGTTTGGGGAAGCTGGGTGCCCCAAGTTCTAGAGCAGTAAGCTCTGGGGTCTTTTTCCAATTTGGGGCTAGTGTAATATAATCATTAGTTAAAAGTTAAATATTAAATAGACATGGGAAGTTCCTGGAATGTTCATGGAGCTTCTAGATACTTGACGACGTCGCCAGGTGAGAGCTCTGAAAATAGAGACATCTGGCGATTTCTAGAAATGACCAGAACTATGTTTTAGTGGTATAAAATGGGAGGCAGGCCTCTTAGTGCTCATCAAGAGAACACACACTGAATACCGCATCAAATAGCTTCACTCGGCACACTCAATACATTCATCAAACTCTTTAAAGTCAGTCATCAAAGACCATTCTCAATACATTATACAATTATCATCAAATTATCAAATTATCAAACTATCAGACATCGGCTTGCCGAACAACAAGATGTCACTCTTCACTCGAGCATTTTTCCACCAAGATCAGCCATCTAGCCCGACTATCTTTCGGCTTCTGGACGAGATCAACCAATACTCACATGATATGGAACGAAATACTCATCAAATCACAAAGTTATTTACCCCCAAATTTGACGTAAAGGAGCTCGGAGACTCATTTGAGCTGCACAGAGAGCTACCTGGCATTGGTCAGAAGAATATCAACATTGAGTTCACCGATGCGTCAACAGTTACTATCAAAGGCCACATTAAACGCAGTTATTCAAAAGGTACTGTACCAGCTGTATTCATGGAAGGCAAGACCAATGAAGCAGCAATATGCAAAGACGGTTAATGTAGGACGTCGAAACAAGACAACAACCTTTCGGTCAAGAAGAGCGAGGACCCCAGCACGTCACAGGAGAAGTTCTGGGTCATGGAGAGGAGTATTTGGGATTTCTCGAGATCTTTTGCATTTCCGGTGCCAGTAAACCAGGAAAATGTAAAGGCTTTGATGATGGACGGGGCTCTGAACATCATGGTACCAAATCAAAGAAACAGAAAAACCGCAAAATACGTATTCAGTAAATCCTCGACTACTGTGAATGGGAGTTTATATGTATGGTTAAGAAATAAAACAGAATAACCAATTGGCATGGATATTAATAGGTAAAGATGGGAAATGATGTATTTTATTCAAGTAATGAAAATTAATTACCTTTTTGATTTTATTTAGCTCATTCAGGTACTCTATGGGCCCACGCAGGTATATCTAGCTTTTACACTTACACAAGAGGAAACCAAATTCGTTAAAAAACCCCCCACAACTGTCTGTCTCGTGTCTATTTGTTTTCTGAGGTCTCCTACAGGAAGTGCGATTACACTGTTTGTACAGTGTGAATTTCATCTTATCCTTATCCACATCGTCTCATCTTTTCGTCCATTGCTATTTCTACTTCTCCTGCAAGCCGGAATTGTTCAAGCCAGCCTTTTGCCAGGATCCATTTTGTGATTTTATCAAACTATGGATAGTTTGAAGGCGATTAATGTCAGGTGTAAAGTTTAAGGAGTTAGGTTTACAAAGCTTGGAGTTACTTGTTTCGAAAAAAGGTGTTTCGCTTGAGCTGTAGCAATAAGAACTCTATCTGTTCTGACTAGAGATGTTTCGTTCCAAACCATGAGAAGCTTGGTCTATGGGGTCAAGTTGGGGACACATAGAGCATTTGCCATTTTCTAGACGTACATAATCTAGATAGTATCAGTAAGAGAAACGGCAGCCAGAAATTAATTGACACTTTTTACTTTTACTTCATACATTTTTCAATTGACTTGTAGAGTCTAACAGATTTTCTCTAAATTATCTGGGCTGTTCATCATTAGTGTTAGAATATGATTCCTCTGGACAGTTAATACAGTAGAACTGTTACTGGAATATTTGGAAGTAGATTTGATAAAGTATAGGGTTAAATCGTTGTGTGTGTCTTCGTCTCTACGTCTACGCGCTTAACAGAAGTATCGCAACCTCGCACCCTCTAATGTATTGCTCCTAGTCTCATCCACACGCTAATATGAAACTACTAATACAGGGTATATAAAATCAACAGACGCCTTACCCTTTTTAACTCCTAGGCAACCAATAACCACAACCCTAACTCCATTATGTTAAATTGTAGGGATGATTATGTTTGACCAACCCTTCTTGTAATTTAACAATTAGCTTATAGGACCTAACTTTTGCTTTTCGAAGCACTTCTCCTCTTCCCATTGCCCACTGAGGACACACCAAGGTCATATGTTTGACATTTTGAGACGGATATCCACACTGACATTTTGGATTAATCACTCCCGGGACTTTCCTTCAAAACAAATAAGAGTTGAGACCAATTTGTTCACTTCTTATCTGAACTACAATACTGCTTTGGGCCCTACTAAGGTTCCGGTGGATATTTGAAGGTGTGTTTCTATAGGTAATACTTTTTCTACCTGTTGTCTCATCTATAAATACACAAACTGTTAGAATTTAGAATAATTGGGGCTATCAAGTAGGCCACGTTGTTGGTACACATGTGACTACAAATTCTGTACAGTCAGACCCATATTAAGATGATGTAATTGGGACTGTGAAAAATATTGTCATATAGAGGATATTGTTTAAAAGGGTATGATTATCTAATCCAGATATATGGGCTACTTTGTACTTTTTATGCCTCTTTTATACTCCCATTTGCCGTCTTTAATTGCTCTAATACTCTCAAGGTCAGGCCAGTTTCCAGCTTGCTGTTGTAGCGTAGTAGTGCCTGGAGCTTCGTCGAGTTTCGCAAAGGTCTTGTTTAAGGACTCTTAGACTGCGGACTGGCTTAATTGATGGCCGAACTCAGTGAAGAACTACTCAATGCACTGTTTTTGTGTTGGTTTTGGGACCTGGCAGTGCGTCCATTGTTGCAGAGCACGTCGTTGCTCTACAGAAATTCCCTTTTTTGGCGGCATTAGTAGGACCAATCTAACAAAAAACCCTGGTTAAGACAATATTCAGAGGTTGAAGAACAATAATTGAGTAATCAGTAAATGTTATGAATCTGAATCACGTGTTCATAGCCTTGTTGTTTGCGTAATGGGTCTGTTTGCCAAAAGCATGTACATAACACTTCTCACTACACATTTTAGTTAGACAGTATTATATATGAGCTACATTATTTATCAACAATAATATCTTCTCTACATATCTCTGTCACACACTGTACAATTTCACAACAGTAAATGTATGGGATTGAAGTCTATTCCGCAAAATGCATGGCATATGTAGCAATATTGTCCTAACCATGAACGTCTTAACAGGGGTCTGACTGTACTTAGTTTCACTTCTGTAGTTACTTGAATCAACGCGCTCTACAAGCTCAATGACTCAGGGATCATTATTTCCTTAATACATAAAGATATACATGTACAATAATGGCCTAGTGATATTGGTATTCAAGACGCACAAATAATTATTTTGGCAGACAGAACGCCATTCACTTCATTGTTATTCTTCTATTTTTATATTGTCAAGCTATACAAATTACAAAGCATACAATATGGCAAGTCACGGCGGCAGCAAGCTCTCTACACCTGACGCAGAATGCGACTCTTTTAAAAAGGTTCGCGCATCAATGGAGAAGATTGATAAAAATTACAAGATCCTTAGCAAGAAGGTAAATGAAAATCATGATGAGATTAAGGATATGATTGTCAGTTTGAAAAATCCAGATGGTACAGCTAGCAAAGGTAAAGGACTTTGAGGTAGCTGTGAAGGAAGGAAAGATATCAACGCCCCCTATGGCACATGTGTTTTTACCCTCATTTCTTGCCAAGCCACCTCACTCAGAGCATCACCCTGCTGACCCTCTTTGTTACCCTCATGGTCAACTTAGCCTTCATAAGATCTGCCGCGTCTGTTATGCTGATGACTGTGAGAAAGCTATCCATGGAATTTAGTCAGCTGTGCTACTACCCTCTCAGATAGACGAGAGAGCCGAGCACTCAGCCAAAAACAAGGTCGTCATCCCACAAGCACTTCGGATACATAGAGCCGACGAGAAGGTATTTGAGAAGCCTGACACCGTTCAGATAAACCTTCAAACAGCTCTTGTTCCTTAACACCTTTGAGTAGCTCGATTATCTCTCGAACTCAATGGCCATTTCAAGCACGCAGCGATTTGGGCTCAGACCCATTCACCATCTTGGCTTCTTTTTGCCGAAGCAATAATTACTGTCAGTCTCACAGCAGACTAGTCACTACTATTCTACAGAGGTGGTGTGTGAAATAGTTTTTCCGAAGCTTGCACGGGGGTACTATGATCCAAATCTTCTGGATCCACAATAAGACATTAGTTCATGAAAAATAACTACTCATTTGTAGACAGAAATACCAGGACCTAGCTAGCCAGTAGAATGACAATGACTTCACTATTTAATGACAACTTTATTTAACTTCAGCAATGGGCAGTACCTGCCAGCAAAGATGAATTCTTCGCCATCAAGTGGTGTTGGTGTAATTGCTCATTATGCTCTGCATATCTGTGATAGCTGAGAGGAATTGCATCCAAATGGAAGTCGAAAGCAACCTCAAAAATATCTCCATTTCAAGACTTTTTGATAATGCCTCTCTCACCATTTTCATCTGAGTTCTCAACCTCTCTCTAACAACGCATTATCTTGCCTCGACGACCAATAAAGAAGTTGCTCCAATTGCATACAGGACCGTGCCCAATTAAACTCCATCCATCACTCACTAGATATTTACGACGCTATTTATACCCGCAAGCAGGAAATCAAGTCATAATATACAAAGTTGGGATCTTGGTTTATGGGGGACTGATGCTCTAATGGGGTTATACATCTTGAGGGACAGGCGGCTGAGATGTGGAACGAGAGGAGGAACAAGTCTCTGAAGACCATGCTATGACTGACATTTTCGAAGGGTTTTCAACTTTGGAACATTTGTGGGCGCCAAGACTGAGATTTTGGCTAACTAGCCAGGAGGACTTCTTTTTGTTGTTGATTCAACGGCACAAAAGAAGTTAGGCTAAGCTGCCATACAGCTATTATGCTCTGTCAAGACTTTTCTGATATTTCAGCACGACCTTCGGGAAGGAGTTGGAAGGAGGCTAGAAAGGCAGAGGGTGAATTTACAGAGGTACACACAAGTCTGCAGCACCCAGCTGGCCGGCCTCTTCGAACGCTTCAGAAGGGGCACTATGTCTTCGGATTTAGTCCTAACATCAGTATTAGAAGAGCCCCGCACCCAGCAGTTTTTGCGATTTTCACTGCTTGCCATACTATTGTCATTAAGGTATGAGATGTTGAATAGTCTAGGGATAGTGGAGAGGGTGGATAACAATTATCAGAGCTTGACAATATGATGAATAGCTTAGTTATAATCTTGTCACATATAACCCTTGCTGACTAAGTTGGTTAGCATAAATAATAAGCGAGGTACAATAAGTAGAATGGTCCTCTTGGACTTCTTGTAGCTTTGTGATCAATCTATCTATTAATAAGGACATTGTCTTATTTTGTGATATATTGATCACCACCTAGCTGAATTTACTTGTTAACGAATCTTTCTCCAAGTCATGGACAATTTAACTTCCCAACCCGTTCCCATACCTAATTTCGCATCCTACAGACGGGCCGAGCCTACAGACGGGCCGAGCCCACACCCGAATCTTTTAATTTTGCTAGCAACCTTTGTGGCAAAGAATTTGGGAACATTGGTCCTGTAGTAATCTCTACCTCTGATACCGCTCCTATTTTAAAATATATCCAAGTCAACCCTACTATCACCCTACTCAAACTCCAGCTAGCTTTCCACATTGCAGGAAATCTCATTGCACGTCACAGGGACCTCGAAATATCCGACAAGAAAACCAAGGAAAAAATTTACATACTTGAATCTAATTTCAACAACCTTCAATTTGAACACAACAATCTATCCATGCGACATGAAGCAGAGATGAAAGGTGCACAAATACTGATATTGGCTCTCAATCTACCTGAGCTCATGAGCTCAACAAGCAAATGAAGAGAACTATCTATACCTTACATGGATCTAAAATTTTCTGGTGCCAACAATAAACTACTAACCACTTTCATTTGTGACTTGCG